GTCTCCATGTCCACTGTGCTGACTGCACCACTCCCACAGTGGCTGGTAAGGGAACTTAGGCTCACCTTCTACTCCAGGTTCCAATCCAGGAACCCTCAAACCACCAGTTCAGGTCTTTCCATTTCAGACCTTACTGCTCCCTTCCAGGACTGCTTCCTGCCCTGTCTTTCTGAGGCTTCTACGCTCCCCACCTGTTCCTGTCCAGATGAGCTTCATTCTCAATCAGTATTACTGCTCCTTAGCTCCCTAGCTGCTGTGGCTTAAGGCTAATTGGCCTCTCTTGCTGGTGTGGGCTGAATGCCCCATCACAAATGGGAAAGTTGGGGAAGCTGAGGGAATCAAATAGATGAAGAGAAATCAGACTCCAATGAGCAGGTAAAGCAGGGGAGAGGAAGGAAACACTGATAAAGCTGTTAAGCAGAACAACATACTTGCAGACAATGCACATGCATTCATCCTGATGTTTGGCTAAAATCCATCTGACATCTTCAGAGGAAGAATTGTCTGGAAGAATTTCCATTAAGTGACACAAAGTATTCTTTCCCCTGGTGATTAAGTGTGCTGCCTTTATATCCCTCTTAGTTCAGGTAGCAAGAGAACAAGACTAACAGATGAACTCTGGTCTGCCTCATAGCAGTGCTCAGCACTATCACTGCTTCAGTATGCAAGTCTTATTGACTTCATTGGGTGTTTCCACCCCCCAATGATCAATCATCTTGGCCCCCAAGATCATGAGACTGACTTAAAAATCATGAGATGTTTTTAAAATAATACTTTCAGAGTTCTTTTAATTTGCCTTTCATTGCTGAGTCTTTAGGATGCACTCAAGTCATATTTTCTAGCTTTTTTTTGGCACTGTGAGGACTAGAAATTTACTTTTTTAAAAAATGGAAACTCAGATTCTCGTATAAGCACTTGTCGCCAGGAGATGGGACTTTACATAAAATATCAAATAACTTGTGAAACTTGTGATAAAATCACAGGGTTGGCAAAACTGTCCTCCACATAACTGAGGGCAGAATTTGGCCTAATGAGCTTACATAGGTGTAGTTTGGGTTTCAGAGCCAGAACCCTTATTATGGTCGAAGATGCACAAGAAGGAAAAAGGCCACCTTGACTCTGCAATCCCAGGCTGAGTTTGCAGGACTAGCAATTAGAAAATCCTTCTGCGTGTAAATTAAAAACATTTGAATTCAATATTGTTAAGAAACAATAGACATAGACCCCTCCTCTGCACTGCCACTTGCAGAGCCATATTTAAGAGGAGAAAAACACTTCAAGTTAAACAAAGCAATTTTTTAAATGTAGCACATACTGTTCCTTATAACAACTTTGAAACTCTGATTTTCAGTAGTTTTTAATGGGTTCTGAATTTTCTTAATCTTGATCAGTTTCACTCGACTCTAATTGGCAGCTTCTTGTTTGTTTTTTAAATATTCTCCTATAATGTATTTTAGATATTTTAAAAATGCATAGTGATTTTACAGTCCTTTGTTATTAAGTGTTGTGATTAGAATTTCATATTACACTGCAGCTTCCCTTTAAGATGTGAATTTACTTAATGGCATGCCATAACTTCTATTTCATGTTTGGATAGCAATCTTTTATAATACTTTAAATATCAGAATTTTAAAAGAGAAGCGGAGTGGAACGCAAATGTTTCAGAGATCCAAACCCCAGACTTCGCTACTCACAAATAGTTCAGGAAATTTCATTGTCGGTAGTGTGGTAGATGCCACATGAACTTTCACTGGACATATGTTTTAAGTCTCTCAATGGGCTAAAATACTTACAAGCATTAAGATGATTACTACTGTTGCAACATCAGGAGAACTTATGCGTTTGGAGTTTATGTCTACAATTTGTTACTTCAGACTTCTGTATTATGTTGGGTTTTTTAATCAAAATGTTGATGTCACATTCCAGTATATAAATTGACTTTATTTTGCCTTTATTTGTTGAGTCCTAGAAACTTGCTCTTGAATATGACTGGGATGGCAACCTTGCAAATACACCTCTACCCCTATATAACGCGACCCGATATAACACAAATTTGGATATAACGCGGTAAAGCAGCGCTCCGGGGGGGCGGGGCTGCGCACTCCAGCAGATCAAAGCAAGTTCTATATAACGCGGTTTCACCTATAACACAGTAAGATTTTTTGGCTCCCGAGGACAGCGTTATATCGGGGTAGAGGTGTAGTCTAAGAGCTTCAGGAGAGATTTGCATGCATTAGTTAGAACTGCATAACTGAGTTTTGTATATAGCATCAGCCACCACAGAAATGCAGGCTATCTCTGGGGGGAAATGTGACAGGTATTTTAATACTACACAGCAGTTCTGGAACAAGAAGTGAAAGTATCAAGAGTGTTTATGTAAGCATGACATAGTTACCCAAATTGGAATTTGGCCACAATGTTTTGGCTTACACATAAACTGTTTTGCATCTCAGGAATCCATTTGAGGTATAGTACAATCTGGAAACAAGCTCTTTGCCTTTGCACCAGTTCCAGGGCCCCTTTTGACTTTCCTGTATTGCTGGGCCACCCTAACTTAAGAAGCCCTGGGAACCTTCCTTAATGGGCAATGTTCCTCAGTTTGATGAGGGCTCTACAAGAAATGTAATATAGGTTGCTGACCGTCCCAGGCTGTGTTAACTTTCCTGCTGAGTTTTCACAGAATGATGATGTGTAAGACAATTCTTCATTCAGTTCTCCCGTCCTGTCCTGCCCCTTTCCACGTGTGGATTCCTAGTGGAGAGTCCTTTGCTCTACTTATGGTCTATGAACTATTTGCCCACGAAGTAGAATTTTAGTCAGCCCTTGTCGTCCTGCCCTTTTTATAATTGCTGAGAGACCATGTAGTTGAAAACAACCTGATGTTTCTTTCCTAGTTCCTTATTGTTAGGATTTTCACTGAAGAAAGCAGGAAGTATATGTACTCCTCATGCTGTATCATCTGTGTAATGCTGTACATCACAAGTTTCTTCTTGCTGTGAATTTAGTGCAGTACAACCCCTACTTACCAAGTTAAATGAAACTCCTGGTTAACTGAAGGTTGACAATGTCCCCTGGCTTTGTACTGCAGTTTCCACTGGCCTCCAGTTCCCCCAGATCCAAAGCACAGCGACTACAATATTATATATCAGTGTCAGGATACTGTGCAGCGCCATCTCCAGCTCAAGAAAAGACAGAGGAGTTCTGTGGAATTATTCCACTTTTGTGACTTGCTCAAATAACACAAAAACAATATATCACAGGATTAAATGTTGGACAGAGATCTGTTAAGTAATCTGAATTAGGCAGGGAGATTGATCTGTGTCTGTGTTTTTGTTTGTGAGACTGTCCCAGAATACCACAGTCTACTACCACAGAGATTTCATTGAAAGGAGATGTTTAGTAGACTCTGTTGGCTTTTAGCAGTCAGATTTCAGTGCTTTCACAATGGAGGCCTGATTCATGAGTGGAGGCTGGTGCAATGCAAATAATAAATAATACTTGTAATGATAGTGGGAAATTATGTAGAGCTATGTGTTTCAAGGATTTATGTAACTGATTTATGGTAGTACCATTTCTTTTCTTTTTTTTTAATTTTGGTTTTGGAGGTTTTTTTAAGTGGTTTGTATTGAACAATATACTCTGTTTTAGGAGGCAATGGATAGATGTACATTTAGCCCAGATTAATAGCATTATGCAATTATGCAGCACCTTGCATGCATCATAAAAGTAGTTATAAATATGTAAACCTGCTTGAATTATGGCAAATTCATGTGGTCCTACAAAACATGTCTCCTCTGTAATGCTTTACTTTTCAAAAATATTTTAAAAGGGACTTATAGATATTAACTACTTTATTTAAAGAAAACAGTATGGCAAAAACATTTGAATTGCTCTTATAGCACTCTAGTAAAGACGTATTAAGTGAAAACGATAAAGGCAATAATTAAATCAACCAAAGGCCATTTGGATAGCTGCAGTGACGTTACAGGAGTGTTCAGAAAAACAACAGATATCAGTTCTGCAACTTCATTGCATAACTGCTGTATATAAAATATCTTTAAGAAGTTGTCCTTTTTCTAATCTTGCCCAGGTCAATAATGACTGAGAGTCATTACCTTCTGATGACTCTGTAATGGCCTTTGTGAAATAAGTAGGTGGGCTCGGTTAGGATCCCATCACACACTGTCACCGTTGTCACGGTAACCCCCTGGCTAGCATTCTCAATGGAGGCCAATAATTGAATGGAGATGGAGACTGATCTACCCTCTTCACTTGGATAGGTTGCCCTTCCATTATAGAGCAGAAGCTTATTGGTAGGGTGGGGGACCTTTCATTCACCCTCCTCATTTTACACCTGTTCTGTGGATAAAAAGAAAGGGTCACACTTTATAGTAAGAGTATGTTTATAAAGAGTATGTTTATAAAGGGTAATCAGTCAGTATGTTACAGACTTGAGTAGTGTGTTTTAGAGATGATTATAAGTTTCTTGACCTGCTGGACTCTTCAAAATCTAGAACAGCTGATTAGTCATTTATTAAAACATCTATTTATGATTATGAACCCTGAATAAACTATTTAAACTGTACCTTTAATAAAAAGTGCGACCTAAGAAAAACTACAGCATTGTCAATCCAGCCTTTCACCAGCAGTGAATTCACTGTAAAAATAGCAGTTGTTCTTTACCTAAAGAACATTTTATAAGTATTTTTTAAATATTATAATTTGTTGAACAAAATAAGAGAATAGAAAAAAAGAAGAGTTGCTATTGGATTCAGCCCTGGGTAATGCTTTAGGAAATATACAGTATAGAATACATTTCTTCTTTATTGGTATGCTAAGGATAAGAGAGAGATTGAAAACTGCATCACAGATTCCTGATATTTATGAAACAGCTGCTATTGAGTGACATCATCTCTCTTTTTCAGGGTGTTTTTTTTTTTTTTTAATTGGAAACACTCCAATGACCAGTGATGACTAGTTATTGTTCCTTTTGTCAACAGGCAAGATGATGGAGGAAGTTCTGGCAGCTTACCATGTCCCGGGCCCTGGAGAGTTAAATGAGAAGTGCTTCAATGTTCTAATGTGCATCACATCGGATCTTGTTTCTGAAGTGTTAGAAGGAACCCAGCATTACATGTTGTGCACCAGCACACTGTTTCTGATAGAACCCAGGGATGGCAAATTTATATACCAGTATTACCTGTCTGGAGCAGGTTTAATTTTATAAATTAAAACCATAAACTCTATGAGTTTCTAGATGTTATTTATGCTTTTGAGGATGAACTCCTCAGATGAAGAGACAGGCTCTTCTGCAGGACCAGAAGATCACATTGGACTGTAAATTGTAACTAACTCCATTTGTAGCATAGGAATTGAAGGACAGGTTACAAGAAGATCCTTCAGGGTGTGAGAGTTGTTTTGCTTTGAGCTTCAAATTTAAAGTCAAGGTTTTTTTAGCAGTAACCACTTTTACTTAACACTACATGTGCAGTCTTTGTGCAGCTCTCGACTGGTAACTATACCCCAGAGATGTTGGATTCCTGAACATACTTAGGTTTGTGATGAACTTTTAAATTGTCAAAGTTCCATGAAAATTAGAAAGGGAAAGTTCTAGGGCCAATATTTGACGAGACCTGTCCTGTCATTTCCTTTTAGTGTCCGAAGGGGTTGGAAAAAGGGCAAGAAGTGGTAATGAAATACAAAATTACATTGTACTCATTTTTGATAAATGCACTTACCAGAAAAGTGCTTTCTGTCTCATAATCAAAGGGAAGGGGTACACTTGCCCTCTCTAAGCCCTCAAATGAAAGGTCTGCATTTAGGGTCAGACATGTTGATTTAGTCTGCTAACTAGCTATAGAAAAGAAGAAACATGTATATGCCCCACTGTATGTGAAAAGGACATTTTGTCATTCCTCTATTTATTTTTGCTCTATCAAAATTAAAGTGCCAGTTATTTGGAATGCTGTATTCTGTGGTCTCTTGGAATTTGATTAGTGAGAACCGTTTGGCAAGATCATTCCCATTATGGTGTAACTGCATGGTGACCACAGCTATGGACCTGTATAATAAAGATCTAAATTCAAAGTTCTGTTTCTGATCATTTTCTGTCTTTTACAATATGTCCTTAAAAACTTCCAATATATCCTCTTTGGGCCTCCCATCACACATACACAGCTCAATACCCAGGAGCACAAGTAACACATTTTGGTGGCTTACTATTACTGTGGATGTTGATATTAGAAATAACATCATGTATTTTAAGAACCACTTTATTACATAAACTGAGACTAGGCATTAAGGCCTAGATCCTCCAAAGGATGGGGAATTAGGTCCCTAAATACCTTGGAGGATCTGGGCCTTAGCACCTGTTTCCATGAAGAGTGACTCTGCTCCTAGCAGGCCTATCCCTATACAATTCAGTACATCCAAGCAGCAAGATTGAGATTGTTCTCAGTGAGACAGCTCAAGAGCTCCAGGGGACCTTTCATTATCTGTACATGGTTGGAACCATGGTTAATGCTAACTGGGCTTTTCTAAAAAGAGTGTTAGAGCGAGCACGTGAGAGGAAAATATCTGTACATTTTGGATCTGATTTCCCCTTGTGTCATCACTAGCCTGAGAGCCAAGTAAGAGCAAAGTGGTGTAAAATGTTTCCAGATCAGGTTAGTAGCATGTTACATCCACTTTGCTTTGCTCTAAGTGACCATGCAGGCCCAAAGCCTTAGAGAATCAGGCCCTTTAAAATCAAAGAGCCTTGTTTCTACAGAAACATTTGACTAGCATAAAAATCCAGTCTCCATTGATTTCCCAACCGGAAACTACATGTCAGACTTTCTGTGGGGGCAGTTATGGTAGAAATGGAGGGGCCAAATGCCAGGTTGCAGCATAACTCACTCAGGTTTGGCCCAGTTAATGTTGACAGAGCAGTCTCAACCTTTGGGATCTCCTAGACCTGCTCCTCTATTGTTTTTTCCTTGTGTAGTCATTCACACCAGAATGGTAGTGTTTAACATCCCTACTGCATTCACTTTGCACTAGTGTGAATGTCTACACTTGGTGCAGTGTAAGGGAGACTCAGCCTCTCTGACTTTCAAGTGCCTGGTCTCTCAACCTTCACATTGCATTAAGGCTGGCTTTTTGCATTTATTTCATAAGTAGTAAAATTCACCCATTTAATGATGTCATGAGGAGAGATAAAGAACCAAAAAGAAATTCAATCCGTGGAAATTAATCCAACCCTCCCCCCCCCCCCTTAAATTTACTGCTGCAGCTACAGTAGCTGTGGCCCTTTGAATGTAAGAAAAAAGTATTCTGCTGTTAAAAGATCTTGCTCTTTCTGTTTGCATTGTTACCAGACTTTTATGGGGAGGTGCAGAAATGGAAGATCATTACACAGATAAGATTTATGTCTTGTCTGCATACAGATTTTGAACCTGTATAACTATGTGGGTTAAAGGTGTGATTTTTTTTAACCAGTATAGTTATATCAGTGCAGCCCCTAGTGTGTGTGTAGTGATACCAGTATAAAAGTGCCATATAATGGCATAGCTGTGATGGTTCTTGGACCACCAAGGACTGTGAGTTACCTTGTTGCCCCGTACTGCCCGCATGAGGGAGTCTTTCTTGTGGTCGCTGGGTGTCAGCTCCCTAACACCAGCAGCCTTTCAGCCACTCAGGCACTCTTGTCTGGGCTATAACTCATCCTAACTTCACCTTGCAGATTAACAATAGGTGCACCTCAGTCGCCACATCCCTTTGAAGCCTTCCCCTATGGTATCTAGCTCCTGACACTGGCTACTCACAGAAATCCCAGATCCTCTGCACCCAAAGGTGCAGCATACCCCAGTTTACCAGTTTTACCTTAAACTCCTGCTCCTGTAACCACACAGCACTTGTAATAAAACAAAAGTAGGTTTATTAAAGAATAAAGATTTAACTAGAAGTGAGGGAAAATGATGGAAATAACTGGGTACAACACAAAACAAAATCATAAAATGTGAATCTGGATCTACAATTAGTGTTACTTTTCCTATCTAATAAAGTAGGCTTTCCCCCCCAAAGTTCAGTCCATTGCAGGGAAGGCTGGTTTCACATGAGCCAGGATCCAAATGTACATGAAAGCCCCCCTGCTCTTGAAGCACTTTTCCTCAATGAATGAATCCAGAGTGCCTTTCCCTATACTCTGTTATAATGAAACAGTCTTTTGTCTTTCTTCATAGCCAAGGTGATCTCCTGCCTGCTGTAATGATCCTTTTCGCCTCCAAGTGGTTTGGATTGTTTGCCATTGTCTTTGATGGATTTCCATTGACTGCTCTGTGATGTGGCAAGAGTACACAATAGGAACTTGCATTACCTTGCTGGCTGACTAGGGACAGGTGACGATTACCTCTTCCTTGAATGGGTCATCACTGAAGCCTGGTCTACACTAGAAAATTAGGTCGGTTTAACACGTTGGTTAGGGGTGTGAAAAATCCACATGCCTGAGTGGCATAGTTAAGCTGACCTAAGACCCCATGAAGGGTATGTCTGCATTATGAAATTAGGTCGATTTTATAAAAGTCAATCTTTAGAAAGCGATTTTATACAGTCAATTATGTATGTCCCACTAAGCGCAGAAGGTTGGCGGAGTGCATCCTCAATACCGTGGCTAGCATCGACTCACGGAGCGGTGCACTGTGGGTAGCTATCCCACAGTCCCCGCTGCCCATTGGAATTCTGGGTTAAGCTCCCAATGCCTGATGCGACAAAAACATTGTCGCAGGTGGTTTTGGGTACATGTCGTCAGTCTCCCCTCCCTCCCTCCCTCCTTGAAAGCAACGGCAGGCAATCATTTCGCGCCTTTTTTCCTGGGTTACCCGTGCAGATGCCTTAGCACGGCAAGCATGGAGCCCGCTCAGCTCAGCGCTGCTGTTGTGAGCATTGTAAACACCTCACGCATTATCCTGCAGTATGTGCAGAACCTGGCTAGGAGCCACCAGCACGATGACGATTGTGAGGAGGACATGGACACAGACGTTCCTGAAAGCACGGGATGTGGCAATTGGGACATCATAGCAGCAGTGGAGCAGGTTGATACAGTGGAACACTGATTCTGGGCCCAGCAAACAAGCACAGACTGGTGGGACCGCATAGTGCTGCAGGTATGGGATGATTCCCAGTGTCTGCAAAACTTTCGCATGCATCAGGCCACAAATCTACCGTGGGGGCTGCTGTGATCCAAGTAGCCAAGGCAATCAGTGACCTTCTGCTAACAAAGGTAGTGAGTCTGGGAAATGTGCAGGTCATAGTGGATGGCTTTGCTGCAATGGGGTTCCCTAACTGTGGTGGGGCGATAGATGGAACGTATATCCCTATCTTGGCACTGGACCACCTTGCCAACCAGTACATAAACTGCAAGGGGTACTTCTCAATGGTGCTGCAAGAACTGGTGGATCACAAGGGACGTTTCACCAACATCAACGTGGGATGGTCGGGTAAGGTGCATGACGCTCGCATCTTTAGGAACTCCGGGCTGTTTGAACAGCTGCAAGAAGGAACTTTCTTCCCAGACCAGAAAATTACCATTGGGGATGTTGAAATGCCAATAGTTATCCTTGGGGACCCAGTCTACCCCTTGCTCCCATGGCTCATGAAGCCATACACAGGCAGCCTGGACAGTAGTAAGGAACAGTTCAACTATAGGCTGAGCAAGTGCAGAATGGTGGTAGAATGTGCCTTTGGACATGTAAAAGCTCGCTGGTGCTGTTTGCTGACAAGGTTAGACCTCAGAGCAACCAATATTCCCATTGTTACTGCTGCTTGCTGTGTGCTCCATAATATCTGTGAGAGTAAGGGGGAGACGTTTATGGGGGGGTGGGAAGTTGAGGCAAATCACCTGGTGACCAATTTTGAACAGGCAGACACCAGGGCGATTAGAAGAGCATAGCTAGGCACACTGCTCATCAGAGAGGCTTTGAAAAACAGTTTCATGACTGGCCAGGCTACGGTGTGACAGTTGTGTGTTTCTCCTTGATGCAAAACTGCCCCCTTTGTTGAATGCACTTCCCTGTAAGCCAATCCCCCTCCCCCCTTAGACCACAGCTGGCAAAGGAAATAAAGTCCCTATTGTTTTGAATCCATGCATTCTTTATTTATTAAAAAAAATGTGAGATCACTGACAAGGTAGCCCGGGTGGGGAAGGAGGGAAGGACAAGGCCACATTGCTTATTGTAGCCACACTACAAATCAAAGCTGTTTGATTGACAGCCTTCTGTTGCTTAGGCCATCCTCTGGAGTGGAGTGGTTGGGTGCCCGGAGCCTCCCACCCCCCGCGTTCTTGGGAATCTGGGTGAGAATATGGAACTTGGGGAGGAGGGCAGGCGGTTATCCAGTGGATGAAGCGGCGGTCTGTGCTCTTGTTGCCTTTCCTGCAGCTCCACTAGACGCCTGATCATGTCCGTTTGCTCCCCCATTAGCCTCAGCATCTCTTCCTGCGTGTTCTGATCACGCTCACTGAATGCTTTCCTGGCCTCTGCCACCATGCCCTGTCAGTGCGGGAGGACTGCATGAGCTTGGAAAACATGTCATCACGAGTGCGTTTTTTTCGACTTCTAATGTGCGATAACCTCAGGGACGGAGTTGATATGTGGAGCATAGAAACATTTGCACCTGCAGGGGGGATAAAAAGCAAGAGTAAAATTTAAGAAGATACGTTTCTGAGAACAAAAGGGAAACTCTTTCACAGTGAATCAAGCAATTCACAGCAGACAGCACATGTGCTTTAGGTACAAGGTCGCATTTTGCCTTTTATATTGAGCATCTGCTGGTATGGTGACACATCATACACAGCTGGGCAACAGAATGTCGTTTCCAGGCAGCCATGGTAAGCCAAAGGGTACACGGGGTTGGCTTCTTCTGCCTTTATAACATGTGGGAATGGTTTAAAACTGCAGCACCCTCCTTTCCCATAGCAAGCAATGCTGGTTGGGTTTGCCGTTTAAAAGGAGGGGCTGCGATTTTGGGGTGGATGTGCAGCACACCTCTTCCCCCACGGCGTGACTATTCTCTGGGATGATCCCTTTTAGCC